AATAGCGGATATTGCACAAACCGTTGAGTTTAAACGAGCAGCGGACCTACTAAAAACCATTTATTATTTAACGTCCATAAAAATTATATTTATATTAATAATGTCTCCAAAGTTCAGCAAATTTTTCGCAAAAAAAAATAATTTATCAGAAAGCACGCGAGCGCCATTCAATGACACAATGAAAACAAGCTTAAGCAATGGCGTAGTCGAACAGTGCACGCTCGGTAAGTAATCCTACAATTTTTTGTTTATAGCATAGTTTATATGGATTATTCCCAAAAATTATATGTATTTTGGAAACGTTGAGTCAAATTAGTCTAGAATCGATTAATTTTATGGAAGAAACCTTTCAAACAGCCGTAGTCCGTAAACTGCATACGTGCCGAGCTGTGATTGGCTGGACTCGTACAAAATGGATTCATGAAAACGAGAATGTATCTACCGTGTTATATGGGGGATGTCGACTGTATATATTAGGATCAGATCTCATTCTAAGGTTTTTCCTATTGCAAAATAACAGTTTTGTTTTAGCCTAACCGATAAATCCTAGCATTAATAAGCTATTCTAAAAGACATAAATGAAAAATAAGGACAATAACACAAATCTTATATCTGTATAATTATTTATTAATTTCAATCACTGTTCAATCTGAATCGTTAGACATGCACAGTGTGGACTGTGTACCTGCATGTGATATAATTTATTATACAATAAGTGTGCTAGGGTTGTGGATTATAGTTTAAATGAAAATATTGATATTGTGGCTTCGTAAAAAATATCTATTGTATATAGCTTATTCAATACAAATGATAAATCCTACCAACATTCTTTCCTAGCTTTTTTTTGTGGGTCGACTAAATGCAAACTAAAATCATAAAGTACTGAATATTTTTTCTGGTTTGGCCGATTTCTGCTTTAAATGGGTTCTTTTTAACATAGAGAATTGCTCCATTTACATTGATTTCCCAAATGGAACCTGAATAGAAAATTCAGATATCATTTTGGACAGGTTTCACTGTACACAATGTAATTCAGGTAAATATTTTAACTTTAACATAACCAGAAGAAAGATAATCCAGAAAAAAGAAATATTTATAAACACAGAACTGGACAATTAATCATTGCACAAATTTGGGATTCCCATTGCACAATTCAAAATTCTCATTACACATTTTGTGTCCGGTTGTGCATTAGAATACTGTTGATCTAATATTAAGTTCCAAATATCTTACTATTTTATGCTATATTGTAAATAAAATAGAATTTACTTAAAATTATAAAATAAAATACATACTGCATTGCTGGTGTTAATATCTATGCTTCCTTTCAGCCATTCCAAAACCTTATCCAAATTTCCTGCCCTTGCTGCTCTTAAAAAACTGGAATTTCCGTCAGTCTGAAAAAACATATTTAATAATTTAACAATGATAAAGCTTTATTTTAAAAATTAATAAACTAACAAATACAAATAATTTTTTATGGCAATTATTTATGTATTAATAAAGTAACAAATTTTAAAATACTTATATATTTATAACAGGTATTTATAACAGGTGTATTAATTTTTCTAAAACAACTTGCTTTAAAAATTAAAACTTACATTACAAAAAAGTTTAGAACTTCTTTAAATTTTAAAATTATTATAACTAAAATATAAAAATCAGAAATATTTTTGAAATTTTTCTATTTGAAAAAATAGTAAATGTACTGAAAACTGAATACACATCAATAAACATAATGAAAAAATGATAGAGTAAAACTTCATTAATTTGGACTAAATAAAAAAAAAAGTTATTCAAAATTTATATTTTCATTTTCATTATAAATTCTAAACAATTCTTACTACAAAAGTTTAAATTATCAATCTTTTTCATCTTTATGAAGATTAAATCTATCATAAGTAAGACAAAACGTTTCTCATTTTGTTTCTAACAGTTTAATCACTTAAACTGCTAGAAACAAAGTGTGAAAGGTTTGTCTTACTTATTTTAAATAGTTCTAGCTTTGAATGCATAGAAGATTAAATCTATCAATTTTTGCTTTTTATATCTATCTTTATTACAGTTTTTTCAAATAAGAAAAATAAAACAACAATATTTTTATCAAAAATATAAATTTTTTAAGTATAAATTATGCTTTCATTTGCTAAAAACATTTTATTCCCAAAAAAGAATAACACAAAAAAATAACAGAAATAATTGTAAATGAGTAGAAATATCAATAAATATCTAAAGTAGCAAGATATCTAAAGAATATATGTGAACAGGAAATGAGCTTGAACTGATGAAATGTGATAAACAGATTGCTGTGAAAACTGATCAAACATGGAAAAAATAGTGCAAATGTTTGCCATTTGATTCAACTCAATCCAATAATTGTCAACAAATGTCTATGTGATAAAAATATTAGTTTTATAGCTATATTCCATTTATTGCCATCCAATTAGCAACTGTTAGGTTAGTTTCATTCAAACTGTTATTCTTTTAGGAACTAGACTAATATTGCGTAGGTTGTTATTAAAAATTCAAAATTTGCATGCAATTATTACCTCATATGTATAAAAACTATAATTTTTAGTTCCTTTAATAAAATTCTAAGTTTGTTTGTTTATAGTTGTCTAAATAAATATTAGAGTTTTAAATTTTGTTTAAATTTTTTATTAGAGTGGAAAAATTCCCACTATAATAAAAAACAACAAAGAACAGTGTATTAAAATTAAAGTAAGATTACAAAAAATTGTTTGTTGTAAGTTGAAACTCATTAAAACTCTCCCAAAAAGAGAAAAGATAAGAAGCAATGGAATCTTGCCAGTCTTAAAAGACATAACTTAATATTTGTAATTGTCTTCAGAGTGTTTTTATTGTCACTGCAACAAAAAGTTCTGAAGATAGTTACTTTAGTGTTCTTATTTCTAATAAATAAGTAATCTTTAGTAGAGAACAAATTTGCATTTATTGTTCTCTAGTCTTTGCTATTTTCTAAAACCAGTGTTTCTAAAACTTTGAAAGGTCACAGATTCTTTTATAAAAGATGTATTTTGGTGGACCCCTATTTTTAGTCAGCTTTTAAATTTAGTTATTAATTAAATTATATTAATAATAAGCATCTGAGGCATCTTATATTATTTTTTTACAGTTTTTGATTACATTAATTTGAAAATTTTGTTAAAATAAGAGAATTAATAAATAATAAATTTACTAAAAAGAACCAACTTTTTAATTTGTCAAGTCATTAAAATATAACATTTTAATATAGGTTATAACATACAAATTTATCACATTTCATTTAAAGCTTAATATAGCTTTAAATAATATTTTTAAATATATGCTAAGTAATAGAATAAAAGCAATTTTAGAAAATGGGTGTGCAGACTCCTGTCAAGTATCCAATGAACCCTGGGGTCTGCAGCCAACAGTTTTGGAACCACTGCTGTAGACTACAGCAAAAGTCTCAGTTTAAAGAAAAACTATATAATTTAATCAATCTACTGGAAATACTATAACCAGACATGCCTTTAATATTTTGCTGCCTTTTTTAATACATTAAAAATTATATCTTTTCCTCCATCATTCATAATAAATGATTATTTTAATTGCATTCACACTATCACTAACACTTTATTGAAATTTGTGCACTATTAATTTGTAGCAGCATTATTTGCATTTTTCATAGTATATTTTTACAGTAAACCAATGTATGGTACTGGTTTAACTATTACATTTAGTTATACATATTAATTAGCCTAAATTATTTTTGTTTATATAATTTTGTTTATAATAAACTAAACGACACTCTTAATTAATTGGACTATTTTATGTTATAATAAATAATTGTAGCATAAAATAGTCCAATTAATTAAGGGTTTCATTTAGTTTATTAATAATACATTGTGCTTTGTGTTGTTAATATTTGTTTATTATATATATATATANTATAATATTTAATGTGTTAATCAATTTTATGATCACATAATTATAATGATACCTGTAAAAATTTGCTGCCTCTTAAAGTTTCCCTACCATACATACATTTCTACTTTGTCTATGCATAAATGTTCTTTGTTCTATTTTATGTGTGAGAATTGAACAAGTTAAATTACTAAAAGCCAACCAATGCCATATGTCATCGGGCTAGATAACGGCTGTAATACTAATAACTTAAAAGACAATTTGATACTAGAGGGAGGCGTTAGGCACCATCTCTTAATAAATTTAATAATTATAATTTTAATTAAATAATTAAGAATAACTGGAAGAAAAGAATTGGCCCAAAGCGGAACTCAAACCAGCAACTGCTGCTTACCGTGCAGATGTGTTGCCAGTTACACTACCTGGACCTCCAGTCTGATCTCATTTTCCAGTATATATAACATTATGCTATAACCATCATCAGTTACTACAGTGCTGTTTGGAGATGCATCAAGTGGCCTCGTCCTGTAAACTTCCTCATAAGAGGGATAAGAGGGAGTTTACAGGACAAGTGTCAACTTATGCTTTCTCAGAGTTGATAGTGACACCTTATGATACCTTTCCCCATTGACTTTTAGTCACCTCTAAAAAATTTGCACCTTTGAATATGACTAGGAATGGCCAATTTTGGTCAGTCATCACTCATTCTTCAAGCTTTTAAGATCTGTGCCTGTGCACTCTTATCATCTGCAGTTTCATTTGTGTTTGGATTTCTGTGTCTTCAGACTTTTCGTCATCCTTCTGCTTGTGTTCTGTTACTCTCCATAACTATTAATTGATGTCAAAACTTATCTCCTGTTCTCAACATGGGATTTCTAGTTCAGACCTGTAAGATACTGACATTTGTGAACTCTCTCTCTCTCTCTCTGCAATAATAATGCACATAAACACGAATAATATGTCTTCTTTAGTTGTGTAACATATCGTACAAACTTTCATGCCATCTACTAAATGTTTAAGTGTAGTTACTTGTTTTGAGTGACTACTTTTCAACTGAATGTTAGCATTTCCTATTCCATCCTCTTACCCCTAGTCTCACATATGAGACCATGTTATGTTATGCCAATCACAAAAATGTCCAAAAACTCTAGTAGTAGGCGTAACCTACTTGGTGTCAGAAATTTCAGTGTGTAATCACTTACATTCAGCAATAAGGAGACTAAAAAAACCATATAAAACTCCACTCAATTAGACACAGCCTGAACCTAACACTGGTGTCCAAGTAAAACACCAAACAGAATCTTACATTGGTGTCAGAAAGAAACACCATCATAGAATTTCACATATGAAACATAAAATAAGTAAATTATAAATTAATATCACAACAGATGCAAATATTAAATATAAAGATAAAAAGAAAGCACATTACAATAATATTAGCTGATATAATATGCTAATAAAATTATCAATAATATTGACATCATTTAATACATTCAAATAATGCAAAATGGCAGGAATAAACACATGATGATATGAATAGACTTATTAATAGAACATATGAAATTAATTTATTTAGAGACCTATTCAGATCATTTAATTTTAAATGTTAAACTTCAGAATTATTTCAAATGCTTTGGTTAGCTTTAACATTATTTAATATCAGTACATATCAATCAGAATCAACTGAGGTAATAAGAGATCAATTAAAATCACATAATGTTAAATGTTTTTACTTTCAGTAACTTTATACCTTTTTTTTTTACCTATAATTTTACCTATAAAAAAAAAATTCCAAATAAATTTAAAAACTTCTCATGAGTCAGTCTTAGAAAAAAATCAACCATACATTTTTAATACCAAAATTTGCTTGCATAAAGATGATTATTTTTTTACATAGTATTTTTTATAGTAATTATTACTTTTTATATTACAAATCTTTTAATTATATGATGCATAATATTTTTGTAGCTCAATATATTTTAATATTTAACCATTGATATTCTTTCAATTAAAAAATATTACTCACATATAAATGATCCATAATACTTTTAACCAAATTCGTTAAAATACAGGTATGTCATATTTCATATATATTTTTCTGTAAATACTTTAAAATTTATTTACTAATATAGTCAAGCCTATCTATAACAGAATCTGTATATAGCAAAAACCTGTCTTTAAACAAAAATTTCTTAGGTCCCTTGAATTTTTTGCAAAAATTAATGTAAATTAACCTGTATATAGTGGAACCTGTCCAACACAAAGATAGAAAGGAAAATCGGACCCTATAACAGAAAAATTAGTATCTTTATCCGATTTAACACAAATTTAACAAGTAGTTTACAAGCCTAGCATGTATAAATCATAAAAAAAAAGTAAAAAAATATAGATATACAATACAGAATAGCAAAATATGACTACTGTATTACAGTAATTTTATTGGGATTTGAATAGAAAGTTTTTGAGTATTTTTATTAACAGCTGTTTT